CTTGAAAGGGTTTTTAATGGCAAGAAAAGAGTTTGGGAAAACAGTGGAAAAAGGATCCAGAATGGCTTGTTGACAGACAGAGACGATTCCACTTCAAATGCTGTCAAAGCTCGCAAGAGATAACCCGACCTTTCCAGCAGAGCCAGATGATCTCTGCACCTTCTTTAATTGCCATATGTGCCACAGGAGCAGGAACCCATTGCCCATTGCCGTGAAAACACCATTTGGCCCCAGCTAATGGCCATAACCAGAAGTCAGAGAAGGGACGCTTCGGAGCCAAGCAGGGGGCGGGGCAGGGAGCAGGTCCATGCCCGGATTAACTTATCAGTGATGCGAAAATGACAATTGCAGGTCCATAACCTTGGGCATTTGGGCTACGTCCCATTTCGGAGCAATTAAGTTATCTGTGTGTACTCTTTGTTGGGCAATTGCCATCATCATCCATCATCATTTAACGAGGGAAATGGAAATAAAATGCTAAGCTCATAGAGGGAAAACCACCCGAGCAACACCTCCATAATTCATCGGTGGAGCAGGGGAAAAACTTTGACTTTGGCGCGTGACTAAACGGGAAAATGCAATGTGCACAATGCAAAGGCCAAAAACAGTTGCCAACAAATGAGCTTGTGGCAAGAATAAAGGATAAACAGCCACAGCAACAGTAGCGGCAGCAGTAGCAACCAGAACGCTAAGTATGATTTATGTAGCAAGTCTCGCCGTGGCAGTCAAATTGAAATTTACACCCAGAACCGAAACCCTTGGCAACGTGCCCGTGCGTTGGGGCTCAAATGAGTCGGAATCCTACATAGATTGTCACCCTGAAGGAAAACACAGAACTAAACCCCACCACACTCCCGGACAGCCAGACGGAGAGACAGAGAGATCATAATAAGCAGCAGCAAATCTGTTGTCCTCCCAGGACATGTGCTGTAAATTGGCTGGAGCCCCGACCTCAATCCAAATCCCCGGAATCATTCAATTTTCTCAGCTCCTGCTGCCAGTTGCACTTCAATTTTCGTTTGTTTCCCTGGATTACCAGTCAAGCTGAAGCATGAAAATTTAATAATCCATTTGGCCCCGGTTGCAGGTCCCGGACCAGCTGCTTGGCTGCTTGTGTTTCACTTACAGCTACAGCTCTAGCCCCATCTCTGGTTGCAGCACCAGAAAACAATTGCAGCTTCTTCTTAACAACGCTCCTGGGCAGCCCCATGATAAAATCTATTTAATTTCGAAAGGCGAGAGTTTGAAAAGAAATTCGTTAAAGATTTGTGATGGAATATTGGAATTGGAAGAGTGGCTAGTTGGAAGCGTTTGCTCCAGAATGCACTCAAATTAATTGTATATTTACTCAAAGTAAACCTGAAATCGATTACAGAGCGGGGGAAAACCAGTCGAAAGCACTGAAAACAATCCATAGAAACACAGTTAAAAACGCAATCATGTACTCGAAAAACCACAAAAACTAAAATAGTTCTGACACACTCGCACACACAATGCGGCACACACTGCACCTCGCTTCTGCCACTAACCTTTAAAACAAAACAACAAATCGTTGCATTCAACGTGTCATTTAACATTTTGGCTAATAGTCCGCACATTGTTCTGTCACTCGGGGCTCGCGGGTTCCAGGGCTAAGCGAAAATACAAAATGCCAAAATAAAGAAGAACGAAAATAGCAACCAAAACTTATTTCATATCAAAGTGGGCGAGAGGGAGCCAGGTTGCGAAGGAGAGTGCGAGAGAGGGAAGCATTAAAACCGCGCCAATTTTGGTCAACATGCTGAATGAACTGTAAAATCAACTCGCTTCAAAATGCGGTCGCTCAGCACTGTGTGCATGTTGGGGTATACATACATATATGTGTATGTGTGGGTGTGCGTGTGTGCATGTGTGCGGTGCAACAGCTGCAGCTTGCAGTCCGGACAGCGAGCCAGGCAGTTGGACAACTAAAAATCAGTTTGCACAAAATTACGTATACGCCGCGTGCAACGCTAAACGAGAATTAACATTTAACAGCCGCATATAACGATTCGGGCTGTTGTTTGTGCAACACAGATGGCAGTGAAACGAAAGGAGAGCAACGCAGAAAGGGAAAAGAGTGTGAGAGCGAGGTTGTTTAAAGCGGAGAAGTGCCCCGGAATTGGAGCAAACACATTCGCACATTTTATGCGGGCAATATTGCCAGAATAACGTGTAATACGGGAAAATTAGCAAATACATTTCACACAAATGCGTGTAAATACAGGGAAAATAGAATTAAAGCTTCGAAATCAAACATAAACAATAACCGTTCATTAAAGTAATAAAATACATATATGGTGGTACTTCCAGAGATAGTTCTACGATACTCCTCTCTTTTAAAGGTCTATTACTGCTCCTTCTAGTTCCTTCCCGTCTTAATCATATGCCTACCCTGGTTCCAACTCCCCTCCATTCCCGTTCCCATTCCTTACCCACAAAGTTGTCCTCGCTCTTAGTCCCTTTCCAAGCGCTCGCTTCTTGGCTCAAGTTCTCAGTTGGCTTTCTGTTAACTAAACTTATTAAAGTTTGTTTGACATTCACTGATTCAGATTCAGATTCTGATGCTCAACTCTGCTCTTCTGCTATGCTATGCTCATTGTCGGTCGGCCTCCCCTGCCCCTTGTCTCTGCCTCTAGCTCTGCAACTCCTTGGATGCTAGATATAATAAAATATATTTGGCTGCTTGTCAGATTCACATTCAGATTCCGATTTTTAGCTGCAGCAAGGAAACTAGTCGGCAAATTGTCGCAGGAACAAAACTAGGTTTGCCTTTCGACTGTAGAACCCCCAAACCTTGACAGCCTTTTGCCGTCTCGGCTGCATCCTTTAGCTGCCTGCCCTGCCTCTATATTTGATTCAATTTGCGCAGAGCAAAAGTAAATCAACAAAAGAAGAAAAGAGGAAAATAGGATAAATAGGAAACGCTCGTATTCCATAAATTTGCTGGCACTTCAATCTCTTTTCCCCCTGGCCTCGCTCTGCCCTCCTCTGGCCTCCGTCTCACTGTTGTTCTGTTCTCTATTTATAAAATTTAGCATTCCGCTGGCATTCTTCGCAGTCGCCTATTTTCCTATATATATGTATATATATTTTCTGTTGTCTGTGCCAAGTTTTTGCGGCTTCATTGCCAGCTCTCCATCGTCATCTCATTTTCGTCCTGCTGCGGATGCCGATGCTGCTGCCATTATCGTTTCTTTCCATTCCTTTCTTCCGTCTGTTGTATTTTTAATAATGCATAATTTGTTTTATAACTAGGTTTCTCCTCCTTCTCCTCCTTCTGTTGCTCTCTTTTCTCCTTCTTCCTCTTCATTTTATCTATGCACAATATATATACACACACATATATATATAGTGCTATAATACACCCACAAAGAGAAAAAAAAAAATATTGTAATCAAAATGAAAACAAAGCGTTCGTTCTATTGTTGAAAAGTTATTATAAAATACTTTGCTTTGCTGGCGATTTTTCTGCATTTTTGCCGCCCAGCATTTGGTTCATTTTCTAAAGTGCCTCCAGGGGTGTGAAATGCCACCCGGAGGAGTGGAGTGTCAGAGTTCTGGGCTGCTATTGTCCAAACGTGCATGAATAATGAAGTTAAGGCCTGATAGGATGGGCCCATTCCCTTAAAACTGGCCGGCGAAATGTGAGCAGATTGTTGAAATGCATTAGACCCAGGTCTGTTGCAGGAAAATGCGCTTAAAGGCATTTTGAGTAGTTTTAGTTTACAGTAAATAACGAGGTGCGTAGTCATCTTACTGGATATCATGAACATGAAGTTTTCCTGGATTTAATATGTCGTCGATTCATTCAATTTCGTAGAAGATTCAACAAAAAATCATGAACAAATGTATGCTAAAGAGTGTCTTTAAGGCAAATTCCATTAGCTAATCAAATTCAATGCACAACGTGTCACCTGCACCACGTTATGGTCTTTTGTAACAGCCAGGACAGCTAACATAGGCTTTCCCGAGCAGTTTAGGCACACTTCTCAACACTCTACCGCCGCCCTGCACCGCCGCGCAGTGGAACACTTAAAACGTCATTACCTGGCCTGGCAATTTGGTTTTCGTTTACAGCTTTCCAAGGTTTTCCTTCTTTTTTTGTTGCCTGCTAGCGTGGAAGGCTCTCGTAAAAGGCCGGAGTGAGACATAATAATAAAGCAACAAAAGACAATTCAGATCGTAAAAAAACAAAAGAAATGTTATAAATGAACCCATAAAAATTACAACAACAATGGAGGGTAACCGGAAACAGGAACAGGAGCAACCCTGGCCACCATGACAGCGCCCTATGGGAACCTTTCTCTCAACCTTTGGCAGCATTAAATTTTTTTAACTGATTGATACGCGCGTGGTGGGTGGAACAGGTGGGTGTCTGTGTGGGGGTTTGGGAAGTGTCGCGTTGCGTGAGAAAAACACTGTTACACACAAACCACCATCCATACGGGGTAGAGCGGAACAGGACGAGACACTGACGAGTGACGCCGAAAAAGAGGCAAACACTCGCACAGAAGAGGGTCTCGCGTGGAAAAAAATGGGAAAAAATATGTTACAAAGTGTCGCACACGACAAAGAACCCATACACACTGGCACACGCTCACCCACACACGGCGAGAGTCGTACCTACATACAGATACAGATACAGAACAGACACACATACACCTTCAGGAGTCTGGTTTGCCACTTGCTCGCCTTGTCATGTCCTGGCAGCAACTTTACATTGTTTGGCTTCGAGCGCTGTGCCATTTTGCGATACCCTAGCAAGGGCTATTACGATTCTGATCAGGTGTTTGAAACCAGTTCCGATACAGAACTAGCAGCCAAATCGACATAGCCATGACAAATCACTGTCTCACTGTCTACTATAAGTATTTCTATCTTCGATCTTGTAGGCTTGTAGTATTCTGTCGTCGCAGATTTTCATTGTGGCACTGCCAGATATTGAGCCCTCCCACTCCCACATAGAAAAACCCATCAAGTCCGTCCCGATTCCAGCTTTATTACGACTTGATCTTGTTTTCAAGTCGAATAAGTCAGCAAAGACATTTAGAAAGTAACATTCAGTTGTTCTGTTGGATTCGACGGACGTTGGCTATAACTGTGAAGAGCCTCGCGATGATCCCTCAGCAGGATGGTCCACAGCTGCTGCAGCATCCACCGCCGCAACAGGGCCCACAGCACGGTCCACAGCAGGGACTGCAACAGGAGCCACAAGGGCCGCAGGGGCCACAAGGACCACAGGGGCCGCAGCATGGGCTACAGCAAGGGCTGTAGCAGCCTCCGCAGCACGGTCCACAAGGTCCACAGCACATTTTGATCCTTAAAGTTCTAAAAAAAAATGACACAATTGTTTTTCAAAATATTTTTAACAAATTTTTGTTCACCTTTTAACTGGAATCCAAACGAAAAACTGAAAATTAAACAAGAAATTTGGATGTTCACTCTACTGCTCCTGGCTTGGGACTGACGAATTCCATAAAACAAACCCGTATACCATTTTTTCCAAGAGTTTGAACTGACTCAAGGCCAATGTGATGATACATTTTATTGAAAATATCCAGAGGAACGACCGATCTCCAAGGGTAGCTAAAGGTTCGGTCCTTGCATCCTGGCTTTCCGCCATGTTTTACTTTGGCTTTGGTTGGTTGAAGAGCTTTGAAGAGTCGGGGGATAGGGGGTCGAGTGAAGAGTGATGAGGAATGAGGAATGAGGTTTGGGGCAAAGAGTTCGGAGAGGAGGTGAGGGCTGGGGTCGATGCCGCTATTGTGTCATCCTCGTCGACGCATTCGTGTCAAATGTATTTCCTTTTTTTCTCCTTTCTCTCCCTCTCTGTCTGTATTTTAGTGTAATTTTGTTGATTACAACGTTGTTGCCTTTTCTTTCTCTCCTACTCCGGTGTGTGATTGTGTACGTGTGTGTGTGTGTGTGTGTGACATTGTTGAGTGTGTAATTTATTTGAAGTGATCCTAAATTATATATGTATTTGTGTCTGTGTCTGCATCAAGGGTTTGGTTCCACAGCAAAATATATGGCAGGGATGCGCTTGAATTATATATGGGGTATACTTTTATCGCTCTTTGCATGAATAAATAAGAATTATCATGTGTTTTTAAAGCAATTTGTTTTTATTTAAACTGATAAATAATTTGGGAAGTAATTACTGGAATATATGGAATAGTTATAGGCGAAATTCTCTCTTATTTAATAGAATATCCCTCGAATGTTTTTCCCAATTTCCCAATTTTTTCCCAATTCAATCAAAATTAAATGTTTGCAGAGCCACGTCGGGGACATTGGTGCCCCCTCTTGAAACCTCTGGGGCAGCAACCGTCGAAACTAATTTGATTTGACAGCAGCACACACCCACCTGGACACAAAGACTAAGACACTAAGACAAAGGGTCCATGGCAGAAAAGTATGCTATGCTTTTATGTATCCTTCTCTCTTTTGCGTTTCTTTCCTTTCGTTTCCGTTCTCGTTTTGGGCCTTTCTGTCCTGGCCTCCTTTACGGCCACATTATTACTTTTTATGGCCAAAGCAAGAAAAGTCATGTTTGGGAGCTTGTTAATATAAAAATTGTGCTGCTTTGGCCACCCCAGTAGCCCGCCCTGCGGCCAGACTCAACGCCGAAATGTCTAATGAAATCTAATAAATTAAAGAGATTTACACAAAGGGGGGCCCTTGGCCAGGGGCTAGGCTCCCTCTGATGTCTCCCGCCAGCGACTTGATTCCGTGGTCGGCATAACTCACATTGTGTTTCAGGCTGGCCAAAAGAAAATTATTGGCTTTTCAGCTAAATCCAAACTCTCCAAGCCACAAAGACGGCAGCAACAACAAGTGTGATGGCAAAGAGTACAGTATCCACCAGTCCCTTATCCCTCCCTCCCTTATGGCAAAGTTTTCCCCCAGTTGTCACACAATCTTTTGTCTCTTGTTGTTCTGAATGAACCCCAAGGAGTGAAGTCGCAACCGACAACCCCAAGGAGATCAAAGATAGCTGGAAGAGAGGTTAAAGTTCGCTGGAGCAAACGGAAACTTTCTACTCGAATCAAAGTCCCACTTTAAGCCCCAATAGAATGTTTTATTTTATCACCGAGTTCATTCAATTAAAATTTCTTTAAATTCCTTTATTTTTGGTGCTGTTCTTTATACAAAATTCAATTTCATGTTTGCCCAACAATTTTAATTGATTTTCAATGTTTATATACATATGTATGTGTGAATATGTATATGTAGGATATATGACAAAGGCAGAGAGTGCAACGAATAAGCGAGATTTTATACCCCAAAAGAAAAGGCCAAAAATTGACATAAATCTATGGAGAAAGCAGTTTGCCAGGAACAGGGAACTGGGAGCAGGGAGCAGGGGAAATGTAATCAACTCTGGTGGGACACCTCTTCAGCACTGGCTCCAAAGGGGGTGCGCAAATCCCCAGGAGAAGTCCTCTATAAATCTCTTGCTATTTTAGAAGGTGCAAAATTGTATACATAAAATATTTCTACTTATTCGCATTCGTTGAGGTAATGTTTTAAAAATGATTTATGGTTCCGCCCCCGCATCCCCCATTCCCATCTCTAGATGGGTCCCACCGCCCAACGGAAGGAAAAGGCATGTATGAGGATTGGTAGGGGGCCCAGGCAGGGCCCAGGACCTACACTTACTGGCACCTCAAGTGCTCGGCCAGCCATGCAATTACATATATCAGCAGGAAGACAGACTCTGGGGTGGCGGAAGAATGCTCCTCTGCTATTTTTGCGCATGTTACAGCACTGGCGAATGCATAAATTATGTACAATCACCCAAAGAACGAGAGGAATAAGGTCCTGGCCTTCCTCGGCTCGTCCTTGTAAAGTGCGTGTTACATTGAACAAATAATTTCTGGAGAGTGCAATAAATACATGATAAATGTCTTAAAGCTGCCAGAGAGTTTCCTGCTAAAGTTAATCAAACCATATGAGAAACGGCCCAGCGATGGGGAGGAGGGAAGGCAAAACATAATTTCGAATGGTTTCACATATACCTTTCAGCGGACGAATTTTGGAGTGTACATTGTATTAGGTGGAGAGCAGTATGTGATTATTTTCTAGCAGAAGAGCACCGTCCACTGAAATCGAGCTAAAATTCTCATATCATTTGAATGTTTAGTGTATTTTACAAACAGTAACCACAACACATAAGTCTTACTTTAAAAATTACTTGAAAGCCCTCCCTTTTGGATGGGTAATCTCGACGTCAATCGTTATGTCCTGCTCGGACACCACCGCCGACTTCTTCCACATGTAGTGCAGGTGTAGGAAGCTGCAGTAGGCGAAGGCCAGGCGGAAGAAGAGCTGCCGGTTGGGCGTGACCAGGCCCAGAACCTGGAGGCCTGGCTGCAGCAGGCAACGTCTCACGCTCTGGCTACAACTGTCGCCGTCCTGAAGCCGCCAGCGATAGCGTCTCCTCTCCAGCCAGCCGTGGGTGGCGAGGATCTCGTCGAACTGCAGCAGGCGAGCCACCTGCAACCAGCAAGTGTCCTGTGGGGCAGCGGCGGCAGCCACCAGGGCGGCCAGGGAGTGCATGAGCTGGCGCAGATTGTTGGCCAAGAGGGCGATCTGGAAGATGCGCCGCCACTGGACATAGGAGAGCGAGTAGATCATGCTGAGGTTGTAGACGATGATCAGCACCAGTTGTGGAGTGATGCAGTCGAGCAGCTCCTGTGTGAGCTTCGCATAGGTACGGTGTAGACGCTGAAGAGATCGTAGGCGGCGCTGGAGCCTCTGCACCGCCCTCTGATCGCCCTTGAGTGTCCCCACGGGGAGCTTCTCGGCGATAGAGGCCAGCTCGTCGTTCATCAGCTCAAAGGATTTTGTCAGAATCGTGAGTGCAATGCTCATCAGATGGGAGGTCATGTCCATCACCCAAATGGCCATCGAGACGGGCACCACGAACACGGCCATGAAAAACAGCTTCCAGGTGGCGTCCTTGGACAGCATGAAGGTCTCGAAGTACATCTTGAAGGTGAGCAGCCTGAAGACCAACTGCAGCACCAGCATCCAGGACAGCCGCAGCTTGCAACGACATCTGCGGTACAGCTCCGGAGCGAGCCGCAGGAAGCAGTTGATCAGCCGGATTCGCTCCTCGTACACCCTCCGAGGCTGCACCAGCAGGCAGCAGGCGAACACGAACAGCTGGATGTGCAGGAGGAGGACGTATGGGTGCAGCAGGGCCAGGCTCAAGAAGTAGGCGAAGAACAGCCCCAGCATCCGTGCTATGGTCACACTATAGGGCGTCAGGTGCACCGAGCTGTGGGCAGCCTCATAGCGTACCCTCATGAGCCCCAGATAGTAGAACTGCGCCAGATAGAACCGCAGCAGGAGCAGAGCGTGCAGACTGATGTACCGGTTGCTCAGGCGGAACAAGCGCCAAAGCGCCATCGATGAAGTTGGACACCGAACTGGCCCGCAAAACCCCGGATCCTTTGGAACTGGTGTGGAATAATTGCTGTCATTAGGTTGGTTAATGATCCACTGATGAGCAGCGTGATGGTCTCACATTAGGGATGGACAGTGGGGGAGCGCTCTGGCTTGCTTTTCGTTAAGAATGAACTAGTTCTAGGTCCCGAATCCTGGATGATGTTCAGTAGGCTGAATAGCCTTGCGAAATACCGTGACCTCTTGACCTCAGTTCTATTCAAGGTTCTGCCCACCATTACGCTCCCCCCAACCCATGGTATTTTCCCCATTTAAAGGTCTGAGAGTACCATTTTTTGAAAATCGCGAACGGACCAACTATTTCTATTACCCAAAAGAGACCCGCCCCGGGAACTTTTATTTAGATATTCCCCAACATTCTTGCACTTCATCAACATAATTTGTTATGCAATTAATTTGAGTGGCAAAAAGTAAGAAGAACTTTGTTAGGAGGCGCCAAATGGCTCATGGCTCATGGCTGATGGCTGATGGAGAGCAGAGCGCTGCGAATGTTGAATATGAAGTCTGGTAAACAAGTTTTGCATAATTTCCATAAAATATTTCATAAACAACTTGAAAAATGGGGAAAAAGCTGAAAGCAGAAAAAGAAAACAAGGGAAACTCGCAGCGGTAATTAAAAAGTTCACAAAAGAGTCCGCTCCGGTTCGGTCCGGTCCGGTCTCCAGGGACTCCGGAGACTTTGGAAAATTGCTACCAAGAAGAAGCGAAGCGAATACGAACCGTCTTCCGATGACAGGGCACAAAACTTGCCGATTGAATGTGGAATGTGGGAGACCAGGCACTGGGGGCATCGTCCCCCACTTTAGACTCTCTTTTCTCTGCCAATCCAAATAAATTAAAAAAGAAGTCGCAACTCGTTGCCAAGTTTGTCACCGCAGAAAAATAATAATAAGGAAAAAAGGGGATTATTTTATATGTATGTAGATGGAAGGCCTGGCCAGAACCGCAAACTGCGGTTGCCGCGGACGCCACTGTGGCCACTGTGGCCACTGACCAGCTCCGGACAGTTGTTGTGGTGTGGACGTCCTGGCACAGTCCTTGCAGTGTCACTGCTCATTATTGTTGGGGGATGCACAGGCATCGGAAATTGGAAAAGTTTCCACCTCCCCCCGCAGTTGTGCATTTATTTAGAGCACGGAAACTGCAGGAAACTGACGGTTGACTGGCAGAAGGATATTATCGTTGGACAAGGTTAAGAAAACGAATATGTACATATGCTATATTTGTGCTTCTTTAGAGAAATTATTATTCAATTTTCAATGCAGTTATTCAATTGTGTTCTGAGAACGAAAATGTTGGCTCAAGTTTGATTTTCCCGCTTGATAAGAAAACAGCTGGCATTAACCGAAAATAAAACACCTCTCTGTTGTACTTTGGTTGTGTGCCGCTCTGTTGCTCTCTTCCTGCCGCGTTCTCTCTTAACCGGTTTGGGAAATATGTATCTTTGGGACAGCAGGGGTAGTACGAAACGGTTATAATTTATCTAAACGGTTTTCAAAGAGGGGAAATATTTAAGGGTGCAAATGCGGCTGCGATGTTTCCCGCCCTCCGCTTGGGGTGGAATTTCAAATAGCAAAATTAATTGACGAATGAAACCTAAAATAAATAATTCACGTGTGTGGGTTGTGGACGGCTGTGGAGGAGAATTAACTGCTATCAGCTATATCGCGACGCAGCCAGTCGAGCAAAGCATCCCGGGCACACTCCGCATCCGCATCCAGGCAGAAGAGTTGACGCACATCCTCCAGCCAGTTGCCGATGATGTAGCGCTTGATGCACGGCATCACGCCCAGCTCCCGGAGCGCCTTCAGGCAGTACACCTGCAGGCGGGGATTGGTCTCGGTGGACATCAAGCGACCCACATAGCAGGGCAGCGGCGTGAACTCCCGGCTGCGCCAAAGAGCGCGCTTGCTATGGAGGCCGTTGAGGAGGGCCAGGACCACGAACTCCCAGCTCATAACCTTCTGGCGGGGCAGCATTTTCTTGGGGTCGGTCTCGATCTCCTGAAAGACTTCGAACAGCAGCTTCACCCCATCAATAGCATCGAAACGGCGCTGACCCTCTGGACAGCGGAGGAGCAGAGCGAAGGCCTTGGTGGCCATGCACCAGTAGAAAGGCAGGCGACTCTGGATCCGCGAGTGCAAGAACTCAAACAAACCGAGCTCGATTCCGCGGTCGGGGTCAAGCTCCAGCATGTGGCAGAGATGGTGCCAGAGATGCCGCGGATATAAAGGCTGGCAGCGGTCCTGCAGGAAGATAGAAACCGCTGAGGCCAAGTTCTCGGGGTCCTCCATTACGATTCCTAGAACTGGTATTGGAGAATAATATTGTTTAGAGTTCAACGATTAAGGTTAACTATCAATCGATTGAATTACCCTTTGGTTTGCCTGTCAAATTGCGTAAGATTTCAGCGGCCAAATCCTCTTGGAGTGGCACTCGACTCTTTATGATTTTGTAAAACTCAACTCTCAGACATTTCCGATTAGCAATATTCTCGGCGCCATTCAAACTGCGAGATAGAATGTCTTAAAAAGGGAAGAACATATTTAATACTTAAAGAACTGATGTGATGTTATAGTCCAGACTGCACTCACTGAAAATCTTTAGATATGTTTCCACTTCACGGTGCTCTTCTTTGTAGATCTTCAATCTCATCCTCATAAAGGCATTCTTCACCCTGTTAAAACGGAAAAACAAGAATACAGATATTCCATTTCCCCGAAGCAGCCTCTGTCCACCCACTTTCTCACAATGTCCATTTCAATGATGGCTCTTTCCGCATTCAACGGATTTAAAAGGAACTCTGTCAACGAAACAATAGCCTTCCAATGGGTCAGGCGCATATCACTGTTCATTTCTTTCATCAATTTGGGCAAAGCAAACCACCCGTAGGCCAGCTGTGCCCGATCCTCGAAGTACGGGGAGCTCGGTGCGCAGCCGTGTGGAAAGCACTTGCACTTGTCACGTTTTTCCATGGCCTCTTTCCATTCTATGGTGGTGTTTTTTCGTGAAAACAGATCTCCATAATATATCCATTCCCCGACTTACCCGTATTCTGCTGGCAGTTGATGGAGCTGGGCTTGAGAACATCTTTGACTTCGAGTTGCAAAAAGTGATTGCGATATCTTTCCAGCTGCTCCCACATGATGTCCAATACAATTTTGTTTTCCTTAAGGTAAATTCTATTAAATGTTATAAAATATACACAAAGCGAGTTGTTTTTCTACAAAAGAAATGTTTGCAAGTGACAAAAATTTGTTCTGAATTTCAAACATCAGTTGGGCGGCAAAAAGGGTGCCAGACTGTCACATTAAGCTAGCCAAGGTGCTGCCACACGTCGTCTCTAAAAGCTCTTGAACAGCTGGTTTTCTCAGCTTTCGTCGGCGCGTTCTTTCTCTTTCTTTGCAGTCTTTCAACCAATATCTCAAACTCAAATTTTCCTGAGCGGTTGCTGCGCGCGTGATAAACAAATTGGACACAACAAGATTCGCTAAAAGTTAACATTCGAATGGACATGTAATTGGCGCAGAGCTTGCGAAAATCTAGAAAGTGAATGTCTACCATGTGCAATAAACTGCAGTTACTTCAATGCTCTTTCGTGCACTCTGTTTAAAGTTGTCTTTGAAAGTAATATTTAATTCCATTGGCAGTCAAAAATGTAAACAAACGCGTTAAATAATTAACAAAAAGCGAATTGCTCCGGGTTTTATTAGTGTTATTTTTTCTGCTGCTGCTGCTGCGCTGCCGCTGCTTTCGTGCCGGTGCCTCTCTCCCTTTCTAACTGTTCCTGTGCTTTCGCGTGTTTTTTGCCTGTCATCCTGCCCGTGTGTTTGTGATTGTGTCTGTGTGCTGGAGCAGACAACAAAAGAAATAGCGCTCTCCCCGCCCTCCCCTACGCCTGTCTAGTTACCGTTACTTGCTGCACTGCCAAAAAAAAATCAACAAAAAATACGAATTTTTGATAGAAATAATTTATACCTTTTCGAAAAATCATTCAATTCCAATCGACAACAAAGATGGCCTTGATAAAACTGGCAAGGTGAGTTCTTAAATATATGCCCGTATATTATATACCTGTACATAGGTATGTCTATGTACATATATGGTTGATATACATATGTATGTATTTAAACGATAAAACTGAAACCGGCTCCGAAAATTCGAAATAGAACCGTTAAAATTGCACCTACTCTCCTTGCGTTTCCACTTAACGGGGTATAATTACGTGAGTTACTCCCTGAACCAGGAGCGGAGTGATAGCCATGAGGGGTGCCCAGAGTACATACAACGCGGGCACGCAAATGCTGTTACTCCATCAGTATCATTATTCTCCCTGAATTTGGACCTTAATACATTTCTGGTTCAATGTACTTGATACTTCTTTGGATGGAAGTCCGCCCCTGTTTTTCAGTTCTCTGGTTCTGTTGTTCCTTAGTCAAACAATTACTTAAAGCATGTAATAACTTTAGCTTAAATATTTGTTCCCTCTTTAGTGGCTAACTGTTGATGTTATTGTTCGTCATTTGGTCAATGCACTCACCCGACCCTGAAACGTAATCCAATTGTTTGCTAAAAAATACTCCCCCGTAATTGCGATATGTCGAAGGAGCAGATGCAATTGTAATGATAACCCCAACTCGTGCCGATTACTTGTTGATTTTCCTTACAATTGCCACAAACAATAACAAATGCGAATGAATCGGGTTTTGTTTCGACTGTTAGTAGCGACGAGACGGGTGGGCTGGCGGATTATTCATTCATCGTTGATTCCGGCTGATATTTATGTTGTTTACACGTACGCTACACCTCCGCTCACCGAGTAAACAAACACCGCCGCAAAGGCGTTGAGTCTCTGATCAGTTGATTGATGGCCTGCCCTGCTGAATGATTGGCCTCGTGCTCCAAGCGTTAGCGCCACATAGAAGTACATATAAAAACAGTGAAAGCTCGTTTGAGGGGAGACTTGATGTTCCAGCTCATCAGAGAAAGAGAGAGACAGAGATAGGGTTTCAGATAGGCATTCCGCTAAGGACTCCATACACTCTCCTCTGATGATCCAACCTGGAACACGGAACATCTCTCAGGCAGTAATCACTGTACAGATTGCACACACATTCAGATTACAGAAGCATGAATAAAAAGGGAGAGCAAATGTCTGAAGTCATTTGATTGCGAATTGGGTTAGAGCTGGTTCAAGGCGGTTTATATGGCTGGTGGCCCCCTTCCATTTCACGCTTTATTAGCGCGATTCACTTTTGATACTGATTTGTATCTTTGTATTGGCCCATAGCCATAGCCCCAAAGCCCCACAGCATGGCTACCGTTTCCCATTGCTCCTCTTTTCCCATTGACTCATTCAACGTTGAGGGACGACCTCCCCTGCCAGTACCAATTAAGGGATGCGTTGAAGTTCTGCCCAGTCCAAAAATAGCAACTCCTAGGCCCCATTCGTAATTGAGTGTAATTGGAGCTAAGAACGAGTCTCAACTCTGAAGTGCAGCTTCTCTAAACAGTGACAAATGACATTTTCAGGGCAGGCACAGAGCACAGAGCACAGAACAACATTGCATTGGAAGCTGTAAAAGTGCAGTGGCAGGCAGTCGGCGGCGGATTGTATCTACAAAAGATGTACATATCTGTATCTGTATCTCTAGCTGGATGACGATGACTGACTGGATGGCCCCAATATGTCCTCGCCTGACCTGCTGCTGGTTGGGGCCTGTACAAGCCATATGCATAATATAGTATATTGTATACCGACAACACAGATACATATAGACAGAGGAACGGAATGGAAACTTTTTTATGTATGTACATCCATACGAGTGCGGGTAACACAATGAAACTTTGCGAAAGGCACATACATCCCATACATACATATATGTATATGTACATAGGTATGTAAGGGTAATACGGGTTGGGATGCTGCTGCTGGATTGATAAAGCTTGTAATCTATATGATGGCATGGTCTCGAGTTACTGTATAAATAGCATCACTATGTACTATGCATAATCTTACGCGTACATATATACTTGCTTATAACCTTTCTCTGTATAGGTAATCGTCGGGCATATGGAAGATCTTATTGTTATACGACTCGTGCAGTAGCCAGGGCCTGCGGCCTGGGGCTTGGGCTTTAATTTAATTATGACTATTTTATTAATTGAAATGCGTAGTAGTATTTCTATAAATGGAATCTCTTCGTTTTTGTTGTTGTTTTTGTTATCATTGTTGTTGTTATTGTATCTGTTATACTGCGAGCACAAACAACAAAATTCCAAGCGATAAAATAAGAGCTTTCAATCAGTTAATATTTGGTGCTTCATAATCCGACATTTTATTGTCAGTTTTGATTTGTCACTCGAGCCAGAGATAAGTCGTATTGCGATTCGTTTCGCATTCCTGTCTTGGGGTAGATCGCTGATCCATCGATAAGATACGCCGCCACAGAGTTCTTTCAACCTCCTTCTTTGCGACAGACCATAGTCCGCAATGCACTTGATCGATCAATGGGAGGTCTTGGCCCTGCACTCGTGAGTACATACACAACCGATAGCGGATTGCGCAATCCTCGAACATGTCACAGTGGTGGTTCGTTCTGTTCTCCCTCTCGTATTCTGAACATCGTATCTCGTGCAAACCAGTTTGAATAGCCCGCAAACAAACCAGCCTAACATACATACCCCTATCCCTACCCTCTAACCCGGACCCCTTCCAACGACCGATGCAAACATTGTAAGTACTACTGGGAAACACTCGAGATACAGTGCTGGCTCTCATGGATGGACAACACAGTTTTCGAAAGGTTGGTTCCAGAATCGTTCGCTATGCGGTAGCATTTATGTAGTTTCGCTATAGGGAAACCAGTCGTCTCAAACTGATTAAAAGTAATGCCAGATAATGTCAGAGGCGAGACACATATGCATATTGAATACAGAAACTATTTGCAATTGCAAAGCAATCACATTTCAACAATAGTTCCCCATTACAGCGGGAGCTAATAATAGATGATAAATATATCTGTGAGAACTTCCTCGATTGTGTCATAGTCCCCTGACAGTAGCAGCAGCACCAGTAGAAACCCGTTTGATTGAAATTTATTGTTTTTGCACATTTTATAGATTATTCATTCCAACAATTGGTATCCAAAATCATATACAGAACAGTAAATTTACTGCTGCGCACAAATTAAAGATCAAACAGACGAATTCTATGGACAAACAGAATCCGCAACGAAGACGAGGTGGCATACGCTTTGTGCCATGAATTCATGTGCAAATTCCCACTTAATCATCCGTATAGATAACTTGATTTTAGAGACCATTTATAACCTTTCCAGAGTATTGATCTTCGGTTGGATCCATTGTAGAGTATTTTGATGGTGTACAAAGTCTCCACCACAGAAAGTTGACCGATGAACGTTTTGCGCAATTCAATGTCTGGTTTTCTGATGGTTAGAGAATGCGGGAAATCCGGCTGAAAGCAGTTTTTACCAAACTTATCCAAACTCAAGAGCATGGCGTACAAAAAACACACAGATGCAGATACAAATACATCAAGGTGAACAAATAGCACGAACCTATACCTACAATATACCAAACATATTGTAGCTACACCCATACGAGTCCACATGAACAACTGAATGAAATGAAATGAAGTAAAGTGAAGTGAAGTGAAGTGAAGGGTACGGTACTATACTCTCACATTCGTACACAAATGCAATAAATGCATGCAATTCTACCAACAGCGGCAGTGGGAAGGGACTGTGGGACAGGCAGGGAAGGTGGCAAGGGGCAAGGTGGTGGAGCGAGAAGGTCGTCGTCAGACATTTTTCGGCCTTCCCAGAGAAATTTCATGCACGCGCGGCACGCTGCACGCGGCGTATGCGCAATAAATATATATAATTTCTCGCAGGCCCATCCCCAGTTCCCCTTTCTTCAGTTCCGTCTACAATTCCACTAATTTCTATCAATTGTAATAATTCTGAGTCCGAGTGCCCCCGGGACGGAACCCTGCTGGACCCCCATTTATTATGCATTCCAGGACCTTGATTGTAATCATCCATAAATAAATAGATCTGCAAGTGGCAATTAGCAAGCCCAAGGGAAAGTCAATTGGCTTGCATACTCGTTCGTACTCGTAGTATTTGTACTCCAGCACGTGATGATTGTCATTGCATTCCGAACTTTGATTTGCCTTTGGGCTAGAGCTCTTCCCATTTAGATATTCTGCGACAGATCCGATCCGGCCGCCTGGAATTCGCAGGAAATCCCCCTGTTATTTATACCTTTTGTTTGGCTACCAGGTCTATTGTGCTCGAGCACGCGGTACATTCGGTGAACGAATCATGACTCTGCCTGCAATCAGTTAGCCATAATCGTACACGTACACGTACACCCGTGCATGCCCCGGCAAATCTGTTGTTAATTGAAATGGTTTTCAGTAGTGTTTAATGGCACCACTAATGCCAGTTGAGCCTCTTCCCCCATTGTTTTGCTAGAACGTAAATCACACATCCCTCAGATGTTTTAGTTGTCCGATGAGGGATAGGAGGGGGAGGCGGGAGAAATAGTTAAGTGGAAAGCAAATGTGTAAAAAGGGGCTTGTCATCTCAGTCTGATTTAATGGGAAAAAGAGAGGCCGAACAGTCGTCAAGAAACCTGTTGCCGTTGCCGTTGCTGACTCGATCTGAGGGTTTCCTTTGAAATGAATCATACTACTCGTACTGTGAGAATGGGAACAATAAAAGAGGCCAAGTGTTTTTCTATAAATCAGGAGCCGGATAGTTTGGAACAGTCGACCACAGCCGTAGCGTTGAAGAGGACTGCTCTGCAGTTGCTGCCACGAATTTATTGTTTAGTTCTAGCTCTCAGAGTAAGTGCTACCTACAGCTTCATACATATTAAACAATCCTTGCTCTAAATTCGCTTCCGTATTGATCGTTTTTCTTCGCTGCACGCATTTCCTTCCAAAACTCTCGTCGTTTCGCCATTTTCCACCCACTTGGCTGGAAATTGTTTGCAATTTTCTAAATATAGCTTAACCCATTAAAGTCAGTTTGAATGTAAAATGCAAAGCCGCCACGCAGTCGATTCAATTTGTGCTGCAAGTAAAAGTGAATTCAAAAGTTGCTGCCCCTCGCGCAGAGGCACATACAGAGTTCATTCATCCAATTTTGTATTTTGTCTGTGGGGAAAAAAGTGGACTTCCGCATATGGTACGAAAGTGAGAGTGTGTCGTGTGTCTGCATCGTGTGGCTGTCCCCTCCCTCTCTCTGTCCCTCTGCCCCACTCGGATCTGGTTCCTTGTTGTTGTCCATTTAATCATTGCAAATTTTATGCAATCTGCTTCTGAGTGCTGATCTTTTTATAACCGCCCCATGATTGTGGGTGTGTGTGTTCCATAAATCAAAAAGCAGATCATGTCAGGCCTTTTCCATGTGGAATTCAATTTGATTAAAAATTGCGCTCGGAACGTGCGCCAAAAGAGCATTGACCATTTGGGTAAATGGAAAACTGTTGTAATGGAATTTAAAACGTATTGCAATGATCCAAAATAGCAGCGGGAACGCTACGACACCCAGATAATGTATCTAATTTTAAAATGCACGCGCTCTAAAGATTATCCATCAAGTGATAGGCACGCGATTCGTATATTTTTCTAGCCCCCCATTCCCTCTAATAGGATAGCGCCTGCGGGCTGCCAGTCTTCTCAAGGACAGGTTGAAGTGAATCGGCATATGATGGCAATCTGATATAAACGGCAATTAGTAAAAGTAAGAGGGAACATTTCCTTTATGCAATCTAAAATGCACTTGTTGTTATTTGACTTTATCGACCAAACAACCGGCCTGCCCTTACAGAGATCATTTCAAAAGCGCGCGCATTGTGTCCCCCAAACTGTGCTGTTAGGCGCAAGTGAAGCATATGTTAAAAATCATGTTAAAACACTAGTGTTTCTGCTTATCGCACAATAATACCGGTATTAATTTAATTTTTAAAGATATTTTAAAGAACAATTACTGGAATACTAAAATCGAGAAATATGAATACAAATAATTCGTCGGTTTATTTATGGTATATTTTGAAAATGAGACGCGTCGAACGGCACCCACGGTCACACTGATTTTAGCGCACATGCAGGCTGACCGTTTACGGTATTCTTAATACTTTTCGGTATTTTCTGAGGTAAAAAGTTAACCGACGTTATATTTACGGTATATCGGTATAGAATGGTATATTTTGTCGATTTCATCAATCTATTAAGTTTCATTTTCAACGTTATAGAGAAATCCAATCAAATCAAGTATTAAGAAAAAAACAGTTCAGTAGAAAATTGATTCATCAATCGTATAAAATGATGTGGACATGGGTTAATATTCTATATAGATGATAATATTCGACGGAAGATCAAAAACAAGGACTATGTGTAAAAGAACTTGAAGTCGTCAGTATTTTTAGAGTATATTTAAAAATGAGACGGGTCGGTCACACTGATTTTAAAACACATGCAAATATTTTGCATTCAAAACAAATTTTTCAATTTTCCCAGTAACATGAGTGTGGAAACCAGTAAATTGTTGATAAAGAAGCTCCCCTGCGACATGGACGAGCTGGCGCAACTGATACGGGAGTGTAAGCTGATCACACCACGCTCCTTGAGCTCCTACGGAAGTCGGCGAGCCGTGATCGAGTACGCTGATGCCGGTCAGGCCCGGAAGGCGCTGGAAGAACTGAATGGCCTAAACGACATACTGGACAAGCCGCTCTGCGTGAGTCCCTTTGGACCGCGTGTCGCCCACGATGGCAGTCGTGCCAACAAATGCACCCAGACAAAGCCACCGCCATCCGAATCCACGGCGACTGCCAAAAAGGAGATCAGGAAGTACGTGCAAAAGCTATATGCCTGCAATAATCAGTGTGACTTTACGCAGCCGCCGCCTCCGTATCTCCGCTATAGCTATCCCCCCATCAACGCAGAGATTCTAGCTATGATTGGCGAAACCCTACAGGCTGACACACGCTTCTATCAGCAGGTTCTCCATTTAATGAATCGCATGAATCTCGAGCCGCCTTTCAAACGGCGCTCCTCCTTTCTGGTCGTCCAAAGTCACCGGCAAAGTGTCGGCATCCAAACAGAGATAATACCCAGCGAGAGCGAAAGCGAGTTGGAGAGCGACGAAACAGAGCCGCGTGCCAAGAGGAAATGCCTCAAACCGTCCACATCCATTGCTGCAAAGGAGAAGAATCTGAAGAGAGCACGGCAAATAGTGCAGCAAGCCGTCAGGCAAGCTATTCATTTGAAACCGAAGCAGGAATCCCTGGCGCCTTCTTTTGCGGCTCCCAAAATTGAGATTAAACTACCGCAGACGCTCAACCCAACAGTAGCTAAGCCAGCGAAGCGCTTGTCCATACAAGAGCTGGAGGCGCTGCCCGTCTATAAAAACTACAATGAGGGGGACCCCAGTAACAAGTTGTACATTAAAAACCTCCACAAGAATATCGGCGAAGAGCAGCTGCGCGAACTGTACTCGCAGTACACGACGCCGGAGAACCTGGAGATCAAAGTGATGCAGCAGGGCCGCATGAAGGGGCAGGCTTTCGTGACTTTCATCCACCTGCCCGATCCGGAGGTCATAGCCACAGCCCTGGACGAAACCAACGGCCTTCTGTGGGAGCAAAAGCCCATGATCGTATGCTACGGCAAGAAGATCTGAGAAGAGGTTAGGGTCTCGTCTGGAGAATCTTTTCTTGATTATTTTGTAGTTGTTTCAGCTGTCTATAACACCATCTACATTTCCTAAGCAAGGCCCAAATTTAAACTCTGACTTTTTCTGTCTTTGCTTGCAGGCAACTGGGCCTGATTGATACCATCTACGTGGAAGGAGCTCGCCCAGATCCAGCCAACGATCCTGAGGAGTCGCTCAACGAAGCAGACATTACAGCCCCCGCCAACGCAGTGCCCATCAAGACAAAGAAGTCACGCAAATCCAAGCTCTTGGCGATGCAGCCCTATACCTATGCCATTTCCGTGGACTTCGAGGCCACCTGCTGGGAGAAGCAAGCCCCGCCACAATGGAGAGAGTCGGAGATAATTGGTGAGTGGGAGTGGCCCCAAGTATTGTACATTACACATAACACCAATCATTTGATTCTTATGATTCACAGAGTTTCCAGCGGTTTTGGTCAATCTGAAAACAGGCAAGGTGGAGGCGGAGTTTCACACGTACGTGATGCCGTTGGAGTCGCCGCGCCTGAGCAACTACTGCACTGAGCTGACGGGCATTCAGCAGAAGACAGTGGAGGCGGGTGTCCCGCTGCAGACGGCACTCAATTTGTTCTGCGAATGGCTGCGCAATGAGCTGCGCGTCCGCAACCTGGTGCTGCCGAAGACGAATAAATCCAATATACTGGGAAACTGTGCCTTCGTCACCTGGACGGACTGGGACTTTGGCATCTGTCTGGCCAAGGAGTGCACGCGCAAGCGAATACGCAAGCCAGCCTGTTTCAATCAGTGGATAGACGCGAGGGCCATCTACAGGGAATGGTACAAGTATCGTCCCTGCAACTTCGCCGATGCTCTGTCCCATGTGGACCTGGCCTTCGAAGGACGTGCTCACTCCGGAATCGATGACGCCAAGAATCTGGGCGCCCTCATATGCAAGATGGTTCGTGACGGAGCCCTCTTCTCGATCACTAAAGATCTGACGCCATATCAGCAGCTCAACAGTGGCTTCTGAGCTGCAGCGGTCAGGGGTCAGCCATCAGCCATCCCTCCAAACCAGCAAGAGAACCAGGACGCAAAGAATCCATTTATTTATTGGATTATATATAATATGAAATTCTACAACAAACGCAAAGACATGGAGGATGACTAGGCGTGGTGCCTAAGCTGACCACAAACGTAAACGCTAAAGAAGTTTCTCGTTTTTGTTTTGTATTTTACCTAATTTCTTGCAACAGCAATTGATAAGACTTGAAATTTGATGTGCATCGCAAACACAGCCGATCCCCAGCATCTGAGTCGGGATCTGAACACCTACATACGAGTACATCTAAACATCTACACATAGCTATAAATATGGCCTTAGAGCATACATATTTTTCTACCATTCATACTTACTTGGTAATGCCTAGCCGTAGTCTATAATATGGAATGCAATACTTATTTTAACGACTTACACCGCCTACCCTAACACTAGGTCATAGGGCATAAAACATAAAATAATAATAAAACGACAATAGCTACATACGTATTATGTGCTGTCTTGTATCAAATAAGGTCATTCTTTGCTATTTATAAACTATAATATTTAAACTAGTGCATCCCCCGAGAGTCTATGCATGACGGCCACTTGGATGACGCCCTTCTTACCCGTCCTCATCCATTGGGGATCGTCCTCGGACAGCCACTCCACCGTGCATATTGGGAGACCGCAGTAGATGTCCGACTTTATGGTACGCAACGCACACACACTGGTCGGAAAGAAGCCACGCATGCATTCGATCAGAGGCGCTGTGTAATCCCAGTTGATATCGCCTAGCAGTTTGCGGTAGTTGAGATCCCCCTTGAAGATGACCAGCGCTGCCTCGCTGAGAGAGACGTACAGGCAGGGCAGGCGCTTCTTCATCTGGCTGCAGTCGTGGGGGCTGGTCCAAAAGTAGCAGGTGTCGCACAAGACGAACGAACGATCCCGCATGTATCGACGCAGACGTCGTCCGAATGCGGCTATTTCGGCAGTCTTGTGACTGCGAAGGAATCTCAGCATCCAGAGAAAGTCCTGCTTAGTGACGTCGGAGATGAACCAAGGAATGGCCTTGACATGGAATCGCACTTTGAGAGCCAAGCCCGTTTCGATGAGGTATTCGGCCAACAGCAGGTCTGAGAAGAGCTCGAAGCCAGCGTTATCACACACAATGTCCACATAAACGGGGTCCCAGGCCTCGGTGAGGACACGCCAGACATCCGCAGACTGATCCACCAGCAGATCAGACTCGTAATCCGCCATTAGCTTCAGAAACTGAGCATCTGGAGCCTGTTTGTTTATGGACAGATCACAGCGATTGCTCCACAGGGACAGCTTCAGCATGCGCTGGAATTTCTCCTGAGAGCGCAGCATTCCCCGCATACCCATGATAACATCCCTCATTAGTTTCACGACGCTTGTCGTGGCATCGATCTTTTTCTGGGAAAAGTAGTCGTAGCTGGAGAGCAAATCAGAGCGCCGAAAAATAGCCCAAATGCGTCTATACATATAGCATTCGGCGTGCAGCCAGACGGAGGAGAACCAACGATTCCTATCCTCGTCCAGAGTGCTAATAAACCGATTCCAGTCCTCGACATCAGGGGCCTTGCCATGGAACAGCTGAAACTCCTGGTTTTCCTGTACCTCATCGCGCAGCAGCTGCAGACTCCAGCAAATCCTTTTCAAATCGAAGTGTGCATAGGATCCAAAGGTCTCCATTATCTTCGGCTCGTAATCATGTAGGAAACTAATCATTTCCCCCAACATCATGGGCGAGCGGTGCTTAAGCGTGAAATAGGCGAAACTTCGTAAGAAATGGCCAGACAACTCGACGTGCGGCCTGGGTGCAATGTCAAATATCTGGTGCTTTTCGTTGAATACGAGGTCCTCCGTCTCTTGGATCTTTACCGAGTGGACAACGGCGGAGTCGATTTCCGTCTGGCTGGTCAACTCAGTGGACTGATCCATTTTGTCGCTGAACATTTTGTCTACAACTGAAAATTTGATGGCTTCCTGCCAGGCAAAGCTATGATTCCAAACTGTGCTGTTGTTACGAGTATATTATTAAACCTTATGGGGAAATCTCTGATGTGAAAGCAATAACAACGCAAAAAGCTGTACATTAACAATTTAGCTATGATCTAAGATTGCAACAATTCAACTATTAATGAGGTTCTGTATCCTAATATTTGGTTTACTTGCTCGCAAACTGTATGACGCCGTATTCCCCGGTGAGCATCCACTCCTTGTCCTTAGCAAAGAGTTGTTCAGCCACTCCTTGCCCCAGGCCGCAAATCAAGTCCGCTTTGACAGTGCGCAGAGTGCAAAGATTTGTGGGCCGGAAGCCTTTAAGAGTTATTAATTAGTATTAGTAGTGATTAGTAGTGGATTAATGTGTGTGTAGACTCACCCCTCAGGCAGGTCGCAAACGATTCCGTGCTGGGCCAAGAGAAATCGCCCAGAAGCTTGCGATAGTTGAGGTCACCTTTGAATATTATTAGCTCCGCCTCCTGCAACCGCGCATAGAGGGCTGGCTTCTCCTCGCGCATGCGGTAGAACTCGTAGGGACTCGTCCAGAATTGCTCCAGCGGGGACAGCTCGAACTTGCCTTCGGCTGTGAAACGCTGCCACTTCTTGCCGAGCTCGCTGAGCACTGGATCGGGATGGTCGGCCAGGAACTGGAGTGTCCAGTGATAGTCGTGAGCCATCACGTCCGATATGAACCAAGGAATGGCCTTGGCATTGAATCGCACCTTCGCCGCCAGTCCCTTGTCAATGATGTATTCGGCCAGGATGAGGTCCGTGTACACTTCATAGCCGGCATTGTCGAAGATTATATCCACAATACCGTCCCCGGAGGCTCCATCGATTGCCTGCCAAATGGCGGCAGTGCCGTCTATCAGCAGCTTGGGTTCCAGATCTGTGACCTGGTCGAAAGCATTGCCAGTGGGTTTCACCTGCTTGCCCGAGGTGATGGACAGATCGCATCGGTTGCCCCACAAATTTAGTTTGATTAGCTGCCGGAAAGTACCCGAGTCTCTTTCGTTTTGGCGAGTGGCCTTTGCCACAGCCAGCATGGCATCGACACTGAGCTTAGCCGCGGTTTGCTTCTGCTCCCTGAAGTAGTCAAAGGCGGACAGACGCGGTGTGGCCTGGAAAATGGCAGAGATTTTGCGGTACATGTAGCACTCGGAATAGAGCCAGCAGGCAGTAAAGTAGCTCCGCTTCTCCTTGGGTAGCTTCTCTAGGAATGCGTTCCACATCTGCGTATCGGGATCTAAATACGAAATACTTTAGTTGTGGGACGGATTCTGGTAAATAACCACACACCCTTCCCCTCAAAGGCCAACAGGGGTCCATTATTGAGAATGTCCTCGCGCAGCTGCGTGACAGCCGCTGCATTTCGTTCAATATCTGCGCCTGCGTCCTGTGGAGGCAATGGAGGGAATCAAGGTTACGCATTGGCATTGGCATCGACCATGGGGATGCAACAACTACTCACTGCACCATATGTGGCCAAGAGTTCGTCTTTGTCCTTGACCAGCGAAGCGGCAATTGTGGCCAAAGTCGATGGCAGTCGCACGCGGAACGTGTAATAGGCAAAGCTCCTGTAATCGAGTAATCACATGTGTCCATAGATATATGGAAAGATTAGTCTGCGTGTATAGTATAGGCGTGTGCATGTTACATATGGACCATATCTATACTATGTGCTATATTTAGCGGGCACTTACTGCTTATAAAGGGCCGCCAGCTCTGTGTGCGGAGGCGTCTCTGCATCAATAATTCCATTCTTGACATCAAAATCGGCATCTGGAGGCGAACTCATTTTGAAAGACGTTGGAAGTTTAAAGGGTCGTTTGTTTTTGGTTGAAAACGATGGCGCTGGAGTTTGTTTGTGTGGTGTCGACCGTCTGCAATATACTGAAATATACCGTAAATATACTGATGGAAAAACCGAGATTAGCCCACTCAACCCCCCTCTATTTGAACAGGTGAACAACTTGAGTTGAGTTTATAAATTCTTCATATTCATCCAAGTCCAGTTCAGGTGAAAGATATCGTTCGCGGAAAATCAATACGAATTTAAACTTTGTCTGGCTGATTAGATATAGTAAATAAGGTTTATTCATACATCGATACTATCGACTCTATATAGAGCTGCGCGCCAAAGTGAAATTGTTTGAAAGTGATGCAGATCGATTTGAGTAGGCGAAAATAAAAAAGCTGTATTTCCACACGCTATGTATGTCCTTAAATACTGGTAGGTGATCTGAGACCATCGCCATTTGTGGCAGATCGGACGAACTTGTTCAATGGGATTCAAAGAGATATATGTATATTTGTGAATAATTTTTTTAAATAATTTAAACTGTAAAGCCTTTGGTATATTTTCCGCTCTAATAGCCAAATTCTCGAGATCCATCTACGAACTGGATGACGCCATAATTGCCGGAGATCATCCAGTGGGGATCCTTTTTGCTCAGAGTCTCACTAACGCCCTCGGGAAGCCCGCAGATGACCTCTGCCTTGACCCTGCGAACAGCGCATATATTGCTAGGCAGGAAGCCACGCAGGCATGTGTTTAAATCCTGGGTTGAGTCCCAGCAAACGTCTTGCAGGAGCTTTCGATAGTTAAGGTCGCCTTTGAAAACGATTAGCTTGGACTGCTGCAGGGAGCTGTACAGATCAGGATCAGTGTCGCGCATTCTGAAAACGAAATAAATCAGGTTAGTGAGGGTCTGCAAATCCTCACGAGTGCATTCACCTGTAATATGGATATGGACAAGTCCAGAAATGTGAGATTGGAGCTAATTGAAACTTTCCCTCGGCCAGGAACTGCAAAAACTTTTTGCCAATTAGGCTTATGATGTAATCTGCATGCTGACTCAAGTATTCCAGCGTCCATTTGAAATCTCGCGCCGTCACGTCAGTTACGAACCAAGGATGTGCCTTCACATGGAAGAGCACCTTGGTGGCCAGTCCCTTCTCAATCATAAACTCGGCCAAGATGATATCGGTGAACAACTCATAGCCGGCGTTATCCAGAACAAAATCGACTTGGCATGGCTTCTTTTGCTTTCGGTTGTCCAAGCATTGCCATATGTCCGCGACTTGGTTGGCGAGAATGAATTCATCTGCGGCGCTGACATCTTCCAGCACGTTTATATTGAATGCCGGAAGTGGCGGTGCCTCTGGATCTCTGGCCGTGTCGTTGTAGTTGCTCCACAAGCTAATCCTCAGAAGCTCTCCAAATATTTCCAGGCTGTTGTCTGTGCGCCGCGTGTACTTGGTGAGGGAGAGTACATCATCTATGAAGCTCGTCAGCGAATTCTCTTTGACCTTCACATGGTAATCGTACGGCTTTAGGAAGATGCTGTTCTCCACAAAGGAGTAGAGTTTTCTGTGCATATAGCACTCGGAATAGAGACAACAGGATCTGAAGAAGGTGCGCTCCTCATCGGGCAGCAGATTGAGAAACTTATTCCATAGTGCGCGATCGGGTTCTGTAGGAAATAAGTAGTCTCGTTACGATAGCCGCAGGAGCAACTATAACTACTGTCTTACCTTGGCCGTCGAATCCCTGAAACGGCTTATCAGTTTGAAGCTCGTACTTCAGTCTGGAGATCAGGCCAATGATGACTTTTAGTTCCCCGCGGGCGGCCTGTTCAAAGTCAATAGGTGCTAGAGATTAAATTTGGGTAAACGCTCTTATCCTATTACAAACCTCCCCGAATTCCGCAACCAATTCGCTCTTATCCTTTGTCAACGTGTCTATCACATTCGTCAAAACCACGGGAAGCCGATTCCTTAGAGTATTGTATGCACCGCTGCGCTTATACTGCCCACACATGAAGGCATTCAGCGGCGTTCGCATGTCGTATATCTTATATTTGGCATCGAATTCTGTTTTGAAGATTCTGGGGACGATATTACTGCCATCATCTGTTCGTTCCGAATGGGACTTTGTCTTCGGCTCGTCCTCCGTCTGCCCACCATACCGTACAAGCGACGGAGACTCCATAATGACACTACAAGTTACTTTACAGAGAATTTTTGTGCGACCAGTAGAGCATTTCAGTTGATTTTTTGATGAAATTCCAAAATTTTAGCTGAGAAGAAGTAGTTTATCGACCCTCAGAAATATACCAAAATATACAGTCTTATTTTCAAAATATACCGTGAATATACTGACGAATTCAAGTTCTATTATACATATTCCTCGTTTTTTATCTTCCGTGGAATATAACTAATTAAATATAACCCTCAGCGCTGCCCACATAATATGATCCGATTAATGAATCAATTTTCTACTTTACTGGCTTCGTTTCAATGCTTGCTTTTATTGGATTTTGTAAAAAAAAGGTTTTATCGGAAACAGCCGTTTTTTAGTGTGTTGAATAGCGAAATCATAATTGAATATTTTTTATCTTTGCTCAGAATGTTCTTCCATTTACTTCATAGTTGAGTACAGACTCGAAGTAGTGTATATAATTGTTATTCAAATCAAAAGCTAAATACAAAATTCGTAGTATTTAAAACTTACTGTTAATCATCTCGTAAAATGTGGCCGATACGTTTTTCGTCTGTCCACTTGTGCATATTCTGTCTCCTGTTTTTGGTAAGTACCGGGGGTTGCTTATATCAGTTCTCCATGCAACCTAACACTGCCCAACTGGATCAATCCCAGGCGATCCACCAACATGCGCTTCAAGCAGCGCCGGCCCACCGTTCGCACCGGGAACGAGACTCCCCAAAATCGCTCGAGGATCCCCACCTTGAGTTTCAGGGCCCAAATAGACCCGAGGATAACACGGACCATGGGCAGTCACGGGAATTGGCCGCCCAGGTGATCCACCATCATGCGATACAAGAGGCGCCGGCTCAAAGTTCGCACCGTCATCCAAACTCCCACGAATCGGTCAAGGATCCCCACCTCGAATTTCAAGGGCCAAATAGACCCAAGGATAGCACGGACCGTGGACAGTCACGGGAATTGGGATCCCAGCTGATCCACCATCATGCGATACAAGGGGCGCCGGCTCAAAGTTCGCACCGTCATCCAGACTCCCACGAATCGGTCAAGGAACCTCACCTTGCGATTCAGGGACCAAATAGACTAGATAACACGGACCAGGGGCAGTCATGGGAATTGGCCGCCCAGGTGATCCACCATCATGCGATACAAGAGGCACCGGCTCACAGCTCGCACCGTCATCCAGACTCCCACGAATCGGTCAAGGATCCCCACCTCGAATTTCAGAGGCCAAATAGACCCAAGGATAGCACGGACCATGGAAAGTCACGGGAATTGGGATCCCAGCTGATCCACCATCATGCGATACAAGAGGCGCCGGCTCAAAGTTCGCACCGTCATCCAGACTCCCACGAATCGCTCAAGGAACCTCACCTTGCGTTTCAGGGACCAAATAGACCCGACGATAACACGGACCATGGGCAGTCACGGGAATTGGCCGCCCAGGTGATCCACCATCATGCGATACAAGAGGCACCGGCTCAAAGTTCGCACCGTCATCCAGACTCCCACGAATCGCTCAATGAACCTCACCTTGCGTTTCAGGGACCAAATAGACCCGACGATAACACGGACCATGGGCAGTCACGGGAATTGGCCGCCCAGGTGATCCACCATCATGCGATACAAGAGGCGCCGGCTCAAAGTTCGCACCGTCATCCAGACTCCCACGAATCGCTCAAGAATCCCCACCTCGAATTTCAGAGGCCAAATAGACCCAAGGATAGCACGGACCATGGACAGTCACGGGAATTGGGATCCCAGCTAATCCACCACCATGGGCTACAAGAGGCACCGGCTCACAGTTCGCGCCGTCATCCAGACTCCCTCGAATCTCTCAAAGATCCCCACCTTGAGTTTCAGGGGCAAAAAAGACCCGAGGATAACACAGACTATGGACAGTCACGGGAATTGGAATCCCAGCTGATCCACCATCATGCGATACAAGAGGCGCCGGCTCAAAGTTCGCACCGTCATCCAGACTCCCACGAATCGCTCAAGAATCCCCACCTCGAATTTCAGAGGCCAAATAGACCCAAGGATAGCACGGACCATGGACAGTCACGGGAATTGGGATCCCAGCTAATCCACCACCATGGGCTACAAGAGGCACCGGCTCACAGTTCGCGCCGTCATCCAGACTCCCTCGAATCTCTCAAAGATCCCCACCTTGAGTTTCAGGGGCAAAAAAGACCCGAGGATAACACAGACTATGGACAGTCACGGGAATTGGAATCCCAGCTGATCCACCATCATGCGATACAAGAGGCGCCGGCTCAAAGTTCGCACCGTCATCCAGACTCCCACGAATCGCTCAAGAATCCCCACCTCGAATTTCAGAGGCCAAATAGACCCAAGGATAGCACGGACCATGGACAGTCACGGGAATTGGGATCCCAGCTGATCCACCATCATGCGATACAAGAGGCGCCGGCTCAAAGTTCGCACCGTCATCCAGACTCCCACAAATCGCCCAAGGAACCTCACCTTGAGTTTCAGGGACCAAATAGACCCGAGGATAGCACGGACCGTGGACAGACTCGGGAATTTGGCTCTTGGTCCGAAATGCCCATGAGACTCTTTCACCTAGTTAGCGAAAATCCAACGACAGTGGACAGTAGTGGCGACCGTAACCAGCGAAAGACCAGCGCTATGCAACGACAAGCTAAAAAGCATCTTTCCCCTCGTGCAAGGACATCGGGAACGAGAGAACGGCACAAGGAGCTCACCATACCACTAGCGCGCGGAATAGTAAACATCCACGGCAGGCGGATCGCAAACCCTTGGATTGTCACCTACGGGGATGTGTGGAGGGACACGCGTCTCGCTGCCGGGCAGTTAAGTAGAATGCCCCGTTTACACTTGGCGTCGTCGCCAATCGTAAACTACTATCCTGACGAGGCCAAGCTTGCCAGCGTGTGCAAGTCGACCATATTTATGCAAAAATACGGCATGCCACGTAGGATGTCGTCCTGGACTTGGATTCAGTACCATATCTACCGGAAAGCCTTCACTTACAGACGCATGGACCTAAAACAGTGGCATCGCCAAGCAGTTCTTGACATAGACTGCCACCGCTTTCATAAGAAATCAACGGTCCTTGCATATTTGGAATGCGCGTTAAGTCGCTATCAGAGAAATGAATATCAAATACCCCAGTATCCAAAGCGCCAGAACCAACTATTCTATGACAACTAGATCAAAGCAACTTTTGAAAAATTCTAGATAAAAATAAAAATATGAAACAAATCATCGTTTGCCCTATTCACACATTTACAAAAAATATTTCGCGATCTATCTAAGCTCAGTAGCTCAACAATGCCATAGGCTGCTTGATCTTTGTAGATCACTGCTCGGCGAATAGCCGAAGCAGAAACATTTTGCTAGAAGAAATTTCTAATTCTTTTGATTTTGGTTGATTTTGGATCTGCATTTTTTCGGATCTGAGTGCTAGGCTTACATATATCGAAATAAGTTGTACGAGACGTTCTCACTTTGGCATCATGCAGGAGTGTTCACTCATTTTGTGGGAAGTTTCAGTTAGTCAATCACGAATTAACTACTCGATATTGTTACTAGAGCCAGCTGCGGCTTGGCTCATTTATTAAATTAATAAATTTTCATGCATTTTAGAATTTGTCTATCAAGGAACGACAACTCTTTTACGTTTTTTTTTTTTGTTTGACCTTTTTCGCTAAAGCCGCTTTTTAGGCAAAATCCAATAAAGCAAGTATTTAGGCTACCCGAAAAAAGTAGAAAATATGTTAATTAATTGGATAAAATTATGTGGGCATGGCTAAATGTTTGATCTAGCTAGTAATATTCAACGGAATATCAAAAACGACGAATATGTGAAGTAGAGCTTGAATTCGACAGTATATTTACGGTATGTTTTTAAAACGAGGCGGTATCTTTGGTATATTTTTGAGGGTCGGACGGTATGTTTTATCGCTAAATCCGCGGTCACACTGAACAAGAAGTACGCAAACCGTCGAGCGCGATAAAACTGAAAAACGGGAAAACATTTGGCAAAAGCGACGCTTGACAAACCGCAACCAATGCATACCAAGTAAATCTGTAGCAGAGCAGTCGCGCCGCGCAGCCCACGCCCACCCAGCCAGCGACACACCACACCGCGAGACGAACAACGAGACAGGGAGCTCCACTCACACCACAGCACACTCACGCCCACAGAGACAGGGCGATGTCACACCTACCTGTGCCACTGTACGGCTTCGCAGCGTTTTTCATGATTTTCTGGTTTGGCACCTGGATGGTCCATCTGATAGCCATTTGCTACGGGAAGTACAAGCTGCACAAGAAGTCGTGCAAGCTGCCGCCAGAGTCGTCGCCACTGCCGGGTGTCTCCATCCTTAAACCGCTGATGGGCGTGGATCCGAACTTGCAGCACAACCTGGAGACCTTCTTCACGATGGACTATCCCTTGTACGAGCTGCTTTTCTGTGTGGAGGACAAGGACGATCCGGCCATAAAGCTGGTCGAGGGCCTGCTGGAAAAGTATCCCCGGATAGACGCCCGGCTCTTTGTGGGCGGCTCTGATGTGGGCGTCAATCCGAAAATCAACAACATCCATCCCGGCTACATGGCGGCAAAGTTCGATTTCGTTATGATCTCCGACAGTGGCATTAAAATGAAGAACGACACGCTGCTGGACATGGTCCAGAACATGTCCGAGAAGCACGCCCTGGTCCATCAGATGCCGTTCACCTGCGACCGGGAGGGATTTGCCGCCATTTTCGAGAAGGTCTTCTTCGGCACCGTCCAGAGCAGAATCTACCTATCGGCCGATGTTCTCGGCATAAACTGCCACACGGGAATGTCGTGTCTTCTGCGGAAAGCAGTCATCGATCAGCTGGGCGGCCTAAGGGCCTTTGGCTGCTACCTTGCGGAGGACTTCTTTATCGCCAAAGGCGTAACGAAGCTGGGATGGAAAATGAGAATCTCCAACCAGCCCGCTCTGCAGAACAGCGGACTGTGCGACATCGGCAGCTTTCAGGCGCGGCTCATACGATGGGCTAAGCTGCGCGTGGCCATGGTGCCCACGACCATCCTGCTGGAGCCGCTCTCCGAGTGCATGATTCTGGGGGCTTTTGCGGCCTGGTCAGCCTCGGTTCTGTTCAACTGGGACCCCCTGGTGTTCTACATGGTGCACATACTCTGCTGGTTGCTTTCCGACTGGCTGCTGCTCTCCATAGTCCAGCACGGCTCAATGCCGTTCCACAAGTTCGAGTTTGTCATTGGCTGGCTGTTCAGGGAGCTGACGGGGCCCTATCTGTTCCTGCACGCGCTCTGGGACCCGGCGATACGTTGGCGAACTCGCACCTTCAAGCTACACTGGGGTGGCATGGCCTACGAGCTGAACACACCCGCCGATTGTCAAACCGCACCGCTGCAGCCACAGCCGGCGCCGACGTTACCGACGGATTCGGGTCAAGCGGTGGCGGAGGTCACGCCAGCGGCCACATTCTGTACAGGAGCGAAGCACCGTCTGCTGGTGTCGTAGCAGCAACTAGTTAAGTTAACTATTTTGTACTTTTGAGTAACTCAGCGGACTGCAAACGTAGACGGAAGACGGAGCTGGTGACTGGTGACGTCTGGTAGTAGTATTATTAGCTAAACCCTTAGTCACTACGTAAGCATAGACTTAATGCTGTAAAAAAGAACAGACTCGACTCCACCCTCATGCATAGGCATAGCGCACACCCCCCCACACCCACACCTACATCCAAAGGTCCAGCTTTAAGGGAATTCAGTTAATAGCTGCGTTTAGACACACTACAGTCTTTGACATGCAGCGTGGCATGCCAGTGTAGATTAGATTAGATTCGAGGCTGAGGCATTGATTCGACTCATTGACAAACAACCGAGCGTCGCCGACTTGTGTTTCTCAGATCACATCAATCTGGGCCTCTAGGGCCGCCGAGCTTGTGGCACAGTTTGGTGGCTTCGCGCAAACTGGTTAGCAATTCCTAGTTTCTACGACATAAGTTGTTGCTTTGTATATATAATGGTATATATTTGTAGCCAACATTTACACCCCACCCCTAGCCTGTACAGACATTTTGCGATCGCGAATAATACTCGTTGCGAGACATAGTTGTAGTTAGCAGACGTTTATAATTATTTTTTTTCTGCTCTTGTTGTTGCTTTTTCGTATCGTAATTATTGATTATTTTGTATAGCTAAGCCCACCCTAGGTATGATTTATATAGTTTGTAGATAAATAGTCTTATTAGTTGCGTCTTTTGTTTGTTTACTGCAGCTTCTGTACATAAATAAGCTCCGATAAAGAATGCCATTGAATAAATCAAATTTACATGATCGTGCCCATCCTAGCTCCATTACGATTGATTGATGTTTGTTCACTGATATCATTATATCATTTAGAGCTTAGCATAAACAGATCGCTCTTATCAGCACATGAGTATGACTCAGACAGTGTCAGGGGCCAGCCACTAGAGCGCTTGTCAAAACACAATTATTGGTAATGTGGGAAAAGCTGAGCTGAGTCACGTCTACACCACCACCACCACCACCGCCTCACTCACTTATTTGCCATATTTACTCGCAAGAGTAACATCGCACTACACACTTGACGCGATCGTCTCTTCTCCGTTCTAATGCGGGTCTTCACAAAAATAATGATCTTGTACAGTTGTTGGAATTATGTTTTTGGGGTGTGGGGAGCAAGGGTCAAACTGGACTAGATTAGTATTACGCACGGTTGGAGAGTCAAGTTTAAGAACATTTCAAAAGTATTGCTTGCATCATGACATGATGGCTGCCTAGGAGATTGTTCTTGTGGAAATATTCCTCATTCTCATTTCTCATTCCTCCTATCGTATGGAACTTAAACCGAGTAAAAAAACACAAACATATTTATGAATTGCGGGTCTACAGATTAGAGTCGGCATATCAGTAGCACAGCGGAGGATCGAGAACGAATCCCTTAATTCACTCCCCGCGACGCCTTAAGCCTATAAATTAAGTAAAAAATTAATAGAAAACGTACAATAGAAAACGTAAACATACATATATGAATATGAGTAGCTATTAGTTTTACGGCAGTACAGCTGCCAATGGTAAGGCCAATTAGAAGCGAATGCTGCTATTTTGTGTACACTCTGCGATGCCCTAAAATGGTGCAAAAGTAATTAAATCCAAATAACGAACAGTAGAAGCGGGAGATCGAATGGAACTTCCGAATTGGAACACGTTCCTCGGATCGTTGGAGGCTATTATGTAAATTCGGCCTCAATATCGGGCCTCTCATCAAACCCTATTGCTGGGTCACCCATGTTTAACTTAAACTAGAGCCAATTATTAGTTGATTGATTAGATTATACAGAGGTTTGAAACCCCTTCGTATCTAGCTGAGATTAATGTGAACTATTGTTTGATTTGCTGCTGCGGAAAGACACTGCAGAACATAAGGCAAAGTCGATTAACAAGCTGATAAGAAAGTAAATTGTACTATTTTCAAAATAGTATTTTGTAAATCTATTTGTTACTAAGGCTAAAGCTAGTCGAAGCAAAGGTAATTATACCAAATAAAACGCAAATGGCAAAAATAGAACATCATGACCAACAACCCACAATCTCAATTCATTCTTCTTCCAGTAATGTTTACATTCTGGAATTACGCTCATAGCCTTGCTTGCCTTGCCCGATAAGGCATGAATCATCTGATTCATGATACAGCGATGTGATGCGTGCTCTGCTCATGGATGTGGATCGGCCGTTTGTGATTTACAATTTTTAGGACCATTCCATTCAAAATGGCGACTTGGGACGTACTTCCAATCACCATATTATATTTGCGAACTATCTAATCAATTTTTGACAATTTATGAGTTCTTGAATTATGGCAAGTGCGCCAACCGCTAGACACGTGAATCGGGGACAAGCGTTGGATGAGCCATTTCCTCCGGAGGTGTGTCGGAGAAAACCTAGTGGAACACTCATTCGCGCGCAAACTACGAAAGTGAATGCGTAACCCTTATCTATGAGAATTCCGGTGGTTTTGGCGTATTAAGATATCATGCTATTTTCCAGATAGTAAGTTCAAGCGAGCTGAACGTCGTACTACACCAGAAGCCATGTGTAAAGTTCGGTACGTTGGCAAGAATAGCCCTCTCGTCCCATAAATAAATGGCCTCGCCCTATCTCTAAGTGCAGGGCTTGCTGTAATCTCTGTCTGCAGTTGTATTTGCACTTGAAATTTGTCTGCCACTCTTTTAAAAATTGCGCGTATTCGATTGATTAAAATCGATATGTCGATAGCTGCTGAAATCAATAGGAACGATTCCGTCTTATTTGTTTTTGGTTTTTCCTTTCTCGCTAAAACCTTGTTTTAGGCAAAATCCAATAAAAGCAAGTATTTAAAATAGTCCAATCAAGTAGAAAATTGATTCATTAATGGCCTACAATTATGTGGGCAGAGCTAATGGTTTTAGTTAGGCAGCATTATTCAACGGAATAAACAAATTGAACAATTGGAACGATTTTTCTCTTACGTTTTATTACGTTTCATTTGTTTCACCCTTTTCGATAAAACGTTTTTTAAGCAAAATCCAATAAAAGCAAGTAATAAAAATAAGCCAGTTAAGCAGAAAATTGATTTATTAATCGTATAAAACTAGGTGGGCATAGCTAAATGTTCTATATAGTTAGTAATAATCCACGGAACATCAAAAACGAGGAATATGTATAATTGAACTTGAACTCGTTAGTATATTTTTAAATGAGACGGTATGTTTCGGTATATTTCTGACAGTCGGACTGTATATTTTATCAATAAGTCCGCGGTCGCACTGGCCAGAAATTCGCAAAAAAAAATTATTTAAAAAAAAGGGTATAAACAATAGTCAAAGTGCCAAGAACCTTTATGTACAAGTTCATATGAATGTCCGTGCGAAGGTGGGGTGAAGCTGAGAAAGTGTGCATATTGTCTAATTCCCAATTCAAAATAGTTTTTCCCAATGTGAAAAATCTATACAATGCCTCCACTCAACCCCCCCCAAAAAAGTGTTTATCAGACGCACGCACACACTGCCGTAGGTCCACCGGGTCGAGACCCTGTGTGGACTTGACTGCGTGGGAGTAAGCGGAAATATTGGAAAATTCTTGCAAAATTTGTCTGGTCTCGGTTTGTTTATACATCAAAGTTGTCTATTGATGTTTAGCAGGCCGCCTCGTCGTGACTTTTATGACTCTCAGACGGGCAGAAATATGAATATTAGTCTAGAACGATATTTCGATACCCTTGACTTTGAGGTCAATTAATTAATTTAAAATGTTAAGCAGTTGCATATACGAGTATGCACAGAAAAAAAATGATTTAAATTCCAATTGCACACATGCATGTATGTACGTATGTATATGCATTGTCCAGCAAACTTGGCGAGAGTGCCTAAATGCTCGAGAAAAGGGTATGGAAAACTAAAGTACACCCACAATTAACAATTTCCTATTCATTCTTGCAGATGTCTTAGCCAAGTGTGGTTGGAAGAGCCCGAGAAACCAGAATCATTCCGAGAAAAGGATTAGATAATTCCAGAAAGACAGACAGACAGACATAGAGATGGCCATGTCAAAGGTGATTCGTGTGCTGGAAAAGTCTATAGCTCCGTCGCCGCACAGTGTATTGCTGGAGCATCGCCACAAGAGCGACAGCATCTTGTTCGAGTCACACGCTGTGGCTCTGCTGACGCAACAGGAAACGGACGTGATAAGGAAGCAGTACACGAAAGTCTGCGACGCCTACGGATGCTTGGGAGTCCTGCAGTTGAATGCCGGTGAGAGCACCGTGCTGTTCCTGGTGCTGGTGACCGGCTGCGTGTCCATGGGGAAGATCGGAGATGTGGAGATCTTTCGAATCACGCAGACGACCTTCGTGTCGCTGCAGAACGCGGCCCCCAATGAGGACAAGATTAGTGAGGTGCGCAAGCTGCTCAATTCCGGAACGTTCTACTTCGCCCACATCAATACTAGCGCCAGTGCGACGGCTGGCACCTCCGGATCTTCATTCAGCAAGTTCGACATCACACTGTGCGCCCAGCGGCGGCAGCAGACCTCGGAGACGGACAACCGCTTCTTCTGGAACCGCATGATGCACATACACCTGATGCGCTTCGGCATTGACTGCCAGTCGTGGCTACTCCAGGCCATGTGTGGCTCCGTGGAGATTCGCACTGTCTACGTAGGGGCCAAGAACGCCCGGGCAGCCATTATTTCCAGGCTAAGCTGTGAGCGGGCCGGCACCCGGTTCAACGTGCGCGGCACCAACGACGAGGGCTACGTGGCCAACTTTGTGGAGACGGAGCAGGTGATCTATGTGGATGGGGAGGTTACCAGCCATATCCAAACCAGGGGCTCAGTGCCACTCTTCTGGGAGCAGCCGGGTGTGCAGGTGGGATCGCACAAAGTCAAGCTATCTCGAGGCTTCGAGACCTCCGCTGCCGCTTTCGATCGACACATGAGCATGATGAGGCAGCGCTATGGCTATCAGACGATTGTGAATCTCCTGGGCAGCTCACTCATCGGCAGCAAAGAGGGCGAGGCCATGCTGAGCAATGAGTTCCAGCGGCACCACGGCATGTCCGCTCACAAGGATGTACCTCACGTGGTATTCGACTATCACCAGGAGTGCCGCGGCGGCAACTTCTCCGCTTTGGCCAAGCTGAAGGAACGAATTGTGGCCTGTGGGGCCAACTACGGTGTGTTCCATGCGTCCAATGGTCAGGTGGTCCGAGAGCAGTTTGGAGTTGTGCGCACCAATTGCCTGGACTGCCTAGATCGCACGAACTGTGTGCAGACCTACCTGGGCTTGGACATGCTCAACCTGCAGCTGGAATCGCTGAAGATGGGGGGCAAGCAGCAGAACATTTCGCGTTTCGAAGAGATCTTCCGCCAGATGTGGATTAACAATGGCAACGAGGTGAGCAAGATCTACGCCGGTACGGGCGCCATTCAAGGCGGCTCCAAGCTGATGGATGGGGCCCGTTCGGCGGCCCGGACCATACAGAACAACCTTTTGGACAACTCCAAGCAGGTATGTGTCTTCCATAAACAAGAGGAAAACTTATTAACAGCCACTGGAAATCATTTCAGGAAGCAATTGACGTTCTCCTGGTGGGCTCGACACTCAGCTCGGAGCTGGCTGATCGGGCACGGATCCTGCTGCCCTCCAACATGCTGCATGCCCCCACAACGGTGCTCAGGGAGCTGTGCAAGCGCTACACGGAGTACGTACATCCGCGCATGGCCCGGATCGCCGTAGGCACTTACAACGTGAATGGCGGAAAGCATTTCCGGAGTATTGTCT